CAGGGTTACAAAGTAGAAACTAGGATGATTAGCTAATGGATTGAGTGACACACTTGAGACCGAAATAAACCAGGGCTATTCCTGGGCTGGATCAGTGGAATGAATCTAACAAGATGGAGACTGATATCAGCAAAGTACTTGGTCAAATACACCAGCCTCTCAAGTACCAACTCAGGGACACAGAGCTCAACAACTACATAATCAAAATAACCAGACATTTTAATTGACTGTCAAGACAATATTAGTCTTCAGTTAATCCATCTAACAATAACAAAAACTTGTCTAACTTCACACAATTATAATGTAAATGAAATGTTGGGGGCGCCTGGGTGGCTCAGTCGGTGAAGTGTCCATCTCTTGATTTCAGTTCCGGTCATGATCTCAGGGTTGTGAGATTGATCCCCACCTTGGGTTCTGTGTTGGGTATGGAGCCTGTATGGGATTCTTTCTCTCCCTCTCCATCTTCCCCCTCTCCTCACTCCCCTCCCCCACTGTCTGTCAAAGAAAGAAAGAAAAAGAAAGAAAGAAAGAAAGAAAGAAAGAAAGAAAGAAAGAAAGAAAGAAAGAAAGAAAGAAAAAGAAAGAAAGAAAGAAAGAGGAAGGAAGGGAGAAAGAAAGGGAGAAAGAAAGAAGGAGAGAGAGAAAGAAAGGAAAGAAGAAAGAGAAAGAAAGAAATGTTGAACATGGTGAAAGTAACCCCAGTTTGGACCCCACTTTAGGTGATTGCATTTGTTAGAATAATACAGAGCATGGTAACTACTTAAAAATATTCTTTAACATTTATTTAACAGAATTGTGCAGTTTTGTCCCAAGCACCGAATAATATGTTTCCAGAGAAAGACAACTATGGTAGTGAGGAACCAAAAGGTAGACACATGGATGAGTGGAAGAAAGAGGAAAGAAAGAAAGACATGAGGTCCTGGTGGAGATAGGGAGGGGGATATGGATTAAAGAGGAATAGTGTAGAGGGACAGACCTGTACTTGAAACTTTTTTGATGATTCATGTACTTGGGTAGCTTTTTTATATTCTGTATCCAGACTTCTGAGTACTACAGTACCTTACCAACGTCAGAACCTACCTCATTACACACCGTGCTTTCCCTTTGTGGCATTTCACACAACAATAATTCAATAACCACGTGTGTACTTATCTCTCTTCCCCTCTAGACACTAAGGTAGGTCCATGGGAACATGCACTGGGTTGGTCTCTTTCATCATTGTATTCTTAATGCCTAGTATATAGCCATACATAAGCATGTGCTAAGCACTCTGTAAACTAATTTGAATTAATTTTTGAGCATTGCTCAGCAATTCAAATACTTTCCCACAAGGTGGAAATTTTTTAAATAGAAAATATAATGAAAAAATGTATTTAATGTTAGCATGTGAATGTTGCAGGCTGCAAAGGAAAAATAAGTTCTCTCATTACAATACATAGAACATTTATGAAAATTGAACACATACTTCATAAAGCAAATTACCAATAAATCTCATCAGGCTGGTGTCATATAAGTCACGTTCTCTCTTTATAATGTATTAAGTTAGAAATCAAGAACAAAGACATAAATAGAAAACCTCCATATTTTGAATTTTAAAGCACACTTTTTTTTTAATTCATGGGTCAAAAAAAGATCATAATGGGACAGAAGATACAGATAAACAATAATACAATACACTTTAAAAATGGGAGAGACTGTAGAGAAGGATCTAAAGGGAAATTTAAAATTTTAAGCGTTGATATTAGAAAAGAATGTAAGATGGACATCAGTGAGTTGAACATCTAGCACAGGGCATCAGGGAAAAAACAACTGATTAAACTTCTCCAAAGTAGAAAGAATAAAATAGTAAGACTGAACAACCTCTGGTAAGATTGATTAGGAGAGACAGAGAATATGACATATTCTATCTATGAATATACTATCAGAATAAAAAAAGAAAAAAATACAGACTGCCAAGATCAAGAAGACAATAAAATGATAGCATTAACAACTTCACACCAATAAATTTAAAAAATGTAAATTTTCAAAATCCTAGAAGGATATAACTAACTTAAGAAGAAACGTAAATTTTAAAAACTCTCAGGCCTATGCCCACATGGTTTTTATATGTTGATTCTAACAATCAACAAATAATTCCAAACCAATACAACTCTTCCAGAGACCAGAAAAATAAGAAACTTATCTCAGCTCATTTTATGAGACTAGCTAACTTTAGTAACTAAGTTATCCAAGGAGAATAACTTTTATTAAATCTAGGAATGAACATCTTAAAATAGCAACAAAACAATCTACCAACATATAAAGAATAATAATCACATCATGGGAAAATTTGGTTTATCTTAGAAATACAAAGCTGGATTAATATTAGAAAGATCAGTCCGTTAATCACCAGGAAAAAACCTATATGATCATTTTAATAGATTAACAAAAAGCATTTGATAAAGTCGATATTTATCCCTGACTTTCTCTTTTGAAAAAGATCCTTACCAATTAGGGATAGTGAGCAACTTTCCTACTCTGATAAATATCTACTTAAAACAAAACCGAGTTGAGGGGTGCCTGAGTGGCTCAATCAGTTGTGCTCTTGATTCTTGATTTTGGCTCCAGTCATGATCTTGGGGTTGTGGGATCGAGCCCTGCGCCCAGCTCCACACTCAGCGGGAAGTCTGCTTCTCCCTCTCCCTCTGCTCTTCCCCCTGCTTGCTCGCTCGCTCTCTCATAAACAAACAAACAAACAAACAAATAAATAAATAAAATCTTTTTAAATATTTAAAAAACAAAACTGAGTTAAAATATATTTAATAGTGCAAAGGTAAAAGTATTTTTGTGTCTGGGTGGCTCAGTCGGTTAAGCGTCTGCCTTCGGCTCGGGTCATGATCCCGGGGTCCTGGGATGCAGTCCTGCATCAGGCTCCCTGCTCAGCGGGGAGTCTGCTTCTCCTTCTCCCCACCCTCCACTTGTGCTGTCTTTCTCTCTCAAGTAAATAAATAAAATCTTAAGAAAAAGAATGCTTTTTATTACCACCTCTATTCAGCTTCGTATTGGACATACGAACAAATAAGAAGAAATTAAAATAAAATCTGTGAAGGTTATAAAGGAAGGAGCTGTTATCCTTCAGAGCTTATTCATTGTCTACCTAGAAAACCTCAAACCTCAGAGAATACTTAGATAAATTGTTCAAACCAGTGAGAAGAACCTGAAAAACTATTTATCAGAGTTGCTGGATACAACGTAAATATTCACAGTCACTTGTATATTGGTATATTGGCAACTACTAAACACACATTTTTAGAAAAGACCTTTCACAGAGGCACACAAATATAAGGAATTAGTAATGAATAGAATAAAATTGGTGAAAACACTTTATGAGGAAATTATAAACACATATTGAAAAATAATAAGATAAAAATAAATGAAGCATTAAACATAACAGTAATACCAATGTTAGAGAGTGCCTTTCTCCTTGAAGCCAAAACTGCTGAGATCTCTACTTAGTCCTGGTGTGTCTATAACTCCTGGTTTGCAGCAGGGACCAGGAAATGCCCTAATCTGTCCCTAAGAAGGGCTAGCAAAGCAGGAGACCTGATGCTATGTTTCATCTTTCAATAAAACGGTTGTTAGAACATGTACAGTTTAAAACACACGTTAAACAATTATATGCAGACACTGCATGTAGGATCACACTTACCCAATCAGTTTTTTAAGCAAAAGAGTATCTCACGCATGATTACTTTGGTGACCCTATTTTTTTATTAATGTATTTTTCACCCTTGCATTCTATTTCCTACTTATGCCTTTTGTACCTACAAAGTGACCCCCATTACAAGCATATGCCTCTTTTTGTCCAAAGTGATAGCAGCTTAGTTTTCACTTTTATTTTATATCTCCAGGGATTTTGGGGAACAAACTTACCAAGGATCTAGAACCCTGTAATTTGTAATTTCATTCTATTCCCTTCGCTAATATGTCTAGGAAAGGCTGAAGAGAGCATCTTATTTGCTAAGTGTTATCTAGATATATGTGCGGGAGGGGCGGTAACCAACTTTGATTAAAGAACTAAGCAAAATATAGGAAGGTACTTCCTAAAGATCCTGCATCGTATTTATTTTGAAATATTTTAATCACAGTACGTTGATTTTTCCTATCAAATGCCTGCTGATTTAGCTGCAAGGAGACATAATTTGGAAGATAACACACATATCATATACTGTCAGAGAACATGACATAAATTATTATAACATTACATTTTATACTGAATATTCAAGGATATAATGCCATGAGTCTTGAGGCTTTATTTCTTGTCTAACAATGCTTATCCTCCACCTGTTCCTTGATATGTGATCGTGGAGGTGTCTGCTTTGAGCTTCTCTGGATCTTTAACAAGCAATCCTATTTAGCAGTTGTTCTGAGGTCCAAGCCTGGACATCTGAAGTTCAGAGGTCATGAGGTCAGTGAATGGACTTGATAGTGGAAGGTGGACACAGTTTTATCAAGACACAGGAAACCTAGATTGTGGAATACAATTCACATTTTCTGCTGTATCAGAAGTCTTACCTTTTTGCTCATGGTGACTTCTTAGTTCTGTCATGACTAATCATCCCAATCTGTAAAAATATTCCTTGGCTAAGATGGCCCAGAATTGATTCTTGAAAGGTTTTTTTTTTTCTTCTTTTCTTGTATCTTCTTTGCTTTTCTTTTGTTGTTGTTTTGGGTTTTTAATCTGAGAGGCTCTGAGAGGATCATTGTCATTCATTTTTTCTGTTACATAATCTTTGTTTAAACATCATTACCAACATCTGACCTAAATTGAGCCAACTATTGCTGCGTTCTCATTCCTTAGTGGTGATTTAAATCTGGACAAGGGTACAAATTTATTAAAAATTAATGAAGACTACAATTAAACCACTGGCTACTTTTTTTATTCCCAAATGTTAATGACAGAGGGAAAAACAAATCCATGTTTCCATTCTTGATTCATGTTCTCCTCTCTTTTCTTTTAGAAAGAACTCTACATGGTATTGCCCGCTGAAGATGGAATTCAACATAAAAACTATCTTGGGCTCCACTAAAGACATCACTGAAGCACCAAAAGGCCTCCAGGAGGTAGCATCTTAGGATATACAGAGGGTTATAGTGTATTCTGCAGAATTGGGTTTGAAAAATGAAGAAGGTAGATGGAGGTTAAAGTAAGTTTCTCTCCTACTGAAAGTTTCTTGAACCCATGGCCATCAGCCCATTCACTGAATGCTGCATGTCCTTGAAGCACCGTTGACTTGCTTCTTGCTGCATGAGGATTCATCAGAGAAATACTGCTTCATGACAGCCTGAGACTCTGGCCCCCAAACTTCAGTGTCCAAGCTCATGGGAAAGATGATGCATTTTGCTAGAAGAGAAGGTTACCTGGGCCTGGAACCCAAACGCATTCCCAGAAGTACTTTGACGTCTCCCTACCAAATCCATGGTCACCATATTGCAAAATGATGGTGCTCACATTCATATTCTCACTGTGGATCCCACACTTTTCTCATTGTGCTGACTTCCTTTGCTATGGTGGACCTTTGCATGGTCTGGGAGGATAAGGGCCTCAGCACTTTAGCATCAGTTAGTAGAGACTCTTCCTCCTCCTCCTTGCCTTCAGTTCATCAGATCACTAACCAACGAGCAGCATCACATGGAGAGCACCAAGCAAAGGTCTCAGGTGGCAGTCCCTGGGATGTTCTAGCTTTGGTGTTCCTGAGAGTTTGCAATTAGTTTATATCCTTTGCCTTGATGATCAGAGGGTCCAAAATCATAACTTCAAAGTGCGAGGAAAGAAAATAATACTTTATCCAATGACTGCAGTAAATGCAGTCTGGTGTCTCAAATTTAGTCCACTGATTATTCTTCAAACCAGAAAAGATGCGTGTCAACATAGAAATGGTCTTTGTTATGGGGAACCAATTCCATGACTGCATACTATTGATTCTCAGTCACTGAAGCCAGTTTCCTATTTGTGGGTCAAGGATGTCTTGCACAAAGCTCTCTCCTGTAAGATAATAGCAACTAATATCTTAGTATCTACAACTGGAAGTCTTGGTATGAAAGTTTCTATGTCTCTTAGATGAGGGGCAGCCTGTGGTTTCCACATGGGATCCAGTTCTTTCTGCCCATTTGTGGAGTGACTTGGAGAACAGGAAGCTGGTTTGCTGAAGGACCACTGGGCAGAGAGGTAAGAAAGTCCTCATTTGTTTAAATGCAAGCTTAACTATATATAAATATAGAAAAGCATGTAGGAAGATTTCTTTTACAGAGCACATTTCTGTTGCCTAGGATATGAATCCTTAAAGTCTTTCTAGGTAGTGATTGGAATTTACAAACAGAATCTTCCCTGTTTTGCATGGCTACCTGTGCGCCAATGTTTGAAATGCTTTTCGAATCATTAATTATTTTGTTTGTTTTCCATGCTCAGACAATCAGAGGGGAGGGTTTTCACCTTGATATTTTGGCTCCTAGAATGGTAGGCACATGAGAAGCTGTAATTTTCTTCCAGAGGGTGTAAGGTGGGTTGAAATCTCTAAATAAACCATAGTAGGATGTCCCTTTGTTGCTGTATTGTTCTTTTAATGGAACCTGCATTCAGAATTCTCTGAGGAGGTAGCTGAGAGAATGATGTTTAACCTTACTTCAGGAGGGCTATTCCAAGTCTCCTTGTGTGCATTCATGCCGAGAATTATACCAGGAGCCACACCACAGCTGCAGGGGCACCATCGACTGTAGCCTGTGTGAATGGATCCACCAACCCACGCCATTAGCTTGGACCACCATCTTGTCAGGGGTGTGACCTTGACCCTTGCAGGGGCCAAATCTAGGAATTTCTCTGACATCTCTTGACCCCATTCATCCTACAAGTTTTTCTCTCTTTTCTTTTAGTCTACCTTTATGGATAAAAAGTTTGGCTTGTTAAGTTCGTGTCTCAATTAGATCCTGGAAATCTGAGTTTGCAGCCACATGGAGAGCACTGACTATTCCCTTCTTTGAAAACATGAATAATTATTCTCTTGGGCAGTTTCATTTTAGAAGATGAATGCAAAGAGGCCCAACCCAGACAGCCTAGCCTATTCTGCATGCCATCATATCCCGCCCGAGTTACAGTCTTTCTACTCTGAAGTTTGCCAGAGTCCAAGGTCCATCTGCCTACGGGCCCACTTCCCACCGATAGGAGTCTCCAAAATTATTTTTTTCTGCCAAAAAGAAATATGAATTTCAAGAGGCCTTTTGCACATACCTTCATGCATTCTACAACGTTACGTAACACAGAGTAATTATTGTATAAACTTTTAGTTTTACATAACAGCATACCTTCCAAAACCTGATCTTACAAAATAGCTACATGATTCATGAATGGCAGCTCCATTGTTATGTAGTGTTAAGTCAAAAATCTATTGGTAAGAGCTACAATAAAAAAGATCTATTGATAAAAAAAACTTTTAACTGATACTTTTTTTTTTATTCAGATTTGCTTAGACAAAGGGAAGTACTCTGTGTTTAGAAGCATGATTACGTCTTCAATCTTACCAGATACAGTAGATTGTGTCCCACAGTTGTACTAGGGTTTAAGGGCTAATTAGCTTCTGCAAAGAGGTCTGTTCCAAAGAGCAGGTGAGATCTGCCTTTATTCGTAGAATGGGCCTTCCGTGGGGACATTTCTTCACACCCACTTGGTTGCTCACCAAGAGAGAGTCAGTCTTGGTGCAGCCTCCAAGAGACAATGACACATGTGGGCTTGGTGGAGGTGGACCACCAGGCTGTCCTGCTGTCTACACACAGTGAGATGCAGTGCCTACACCCATTTTAGGAACAAATGTCTTTAGGGGAAATTTATGTGAGCAGCAAGGTTTAGAATCATATACCTCACCGTTTGGGTGCTTTTGGAACCATTCATACCTGCTCTGCTCATAGGGACCCCACAGCCTTCTCCTCACAGGTGCTTTAGGAACAAAGCTGTCTGTTGTTTTTAGGAAAGACAGTCAGTGTATTTGGGGAGTTGCTGGTCTCAGTTAATCCTGGAGGTGAGTCGACTACATTGGCCACTACTGATATGTGAGCAAGATTTTGGTGATGATGAAGGATAGTCTATTGGACATACAAGGCATGAAAGAGATGGAATCTGATCACCCTTTACCCTCCACTCCTTGGACACAGCCCCATATTAAGCCAGCCAACCCCAGCCTTACAGGTTGATGGATAAATCAAACCTCTCTCTGCAGAGGATGGGTTGGCACCACCATTGGTCTACGGATCGTAGACTCTAAGCTACGGTTAGGAGATTCACACCTTACCTTCCTCGAATGTCAAAACCATGTCATAGATCTGGAGTTCTGTTGTTCAAGGGACAGAAAAGTCAGTTCCCCTCAAATGTGTGGGGATCTTCATGGTAAGATCTCTCCGCACTCTGCCACCAGTCCAACCACATGGGACATCCATATAAAACTCATGCTTCCAATATCAGTTAAGTTTCTCTCTTTCTTTTGTCTCCTAAAAAAAACAAATTTCAGATGGGATTACTGAATCAATGCCCATATCCTTGATTTTGGAGTAAAATAAGAACTCAGGTCTTGGCTTTTTGTCGGGACAGACTTGGATAGCCCCCCAGCGATCCGTTTTGCAATACATAAGTAATGTACTATTCAATGTACTAGATGGATAATCCAGAGATAATTTGCTTTTCCTCTCAATTTCTTGGTTTCTTCATCTTTAAAACTGAGATTATAATGCCTATCTCATGGACTATGGATGGTCCCTTTCAGAAGGTCTGGAATCCCCCAAATACCAGAGACTGCAGCTTTTTCAAGTATAAAGTGAGAATTCTATACTCTGATTTTCCCAGGAGACTCAGAAAAAAGACCCTCTGCCTGAGAGTTTCCATGCCGCTTGTTTTGAACCTAGAGCTTTTTCTTGGCTCCAGGGTAAAGCAACCCATACTCCAGAGGACCCCATCTAGAACACAGAGTTTATTCACCCACGGGTGTCAGAACACACTCAGAATTACAATGATCTCAGGCCAAGGTAAACATATTCCCAAGCACCTGGAGTTCCCCTACTGCCAGGGAAAGCAGCTAAAGCAGCTACTCTCTGTAAGTGTGAGAGTCCTGGGAAGTAAAGTTCTCCTGACCTGCAATTGGACTGGGATAGTCCTTACCCTTGACTGGACATGAGCGTGATGTGGGCAGCTTGTTCTGAACATTCTCAGCTTGAGGCTGCACCCCACATTAGTAACCACGGTATTTCTGGGGTGGGACCCTGGCAGCAGTATTTGTAAAGCTCCCTGGGTGATTCCACTGAGACCATAGACTAGGGCTCCCCACATCCCTGCCTGGGAGATGAACTCATCTGGTCATCACAACTACGTCTCCTGAACTCTTGGTCCCCACCATCCTCCAGGCTCCTGACCCAGCCTCTCACTACTCTTCTCCGTCTGGGACATCTGTTCTACAATGAGCAAACACTTCCACGTTTTCAACCTTTCTTCCACTGCCTGGCTCTTCCCGGGGGCCACCACTGCCCTCCAGTGCTCTCCCAGGGACAGCCATAGATCTGGACCCTGAGAGGTTCACGGGAGTCGCACTTACGAATTCTTGGTCTTCTCCCTTCAGGATCTGCTCCTTCATTCCTCTCCAACCACCTCCATGGCCACACCCTGCATCTAGTCTTCGTGCCATACTAACACCTGCCTGAACTCCCCACTGCACATATTCCTCTCTCTGATGTACACTTTCTAGTGTTCCCATCAGATGAACCCTCCTTCCCTTGGGAAAGCTTTCCCTCTTGTCTTGCTTGGCCTCATTCCCCACATATCTTATTTATCTTCTTAATCCTCTAGCTGATCCTCCCCTGGTATCTACCCATTAAAGGGTGTTCTCATTTTCAACCCTCTTTTTGGGCAGCGACATCCAATCCTTCAAAGACAGCATTAAGTGGCCCTTATAGTGAGACCCATCACAGAGCATTCAGATAGCCTATTTACTTGTGGTTCTCCCTGCCTGAATTAATCGGGTTCTCTAGAGAAACAGAACAAATAGGATATCCATAGATAGAGATATAGAGATACATAGATATAGGTATATATATACCTATCCATCCATAGATCTGTCTATCTGTAGAGAGAGCCAGAGATAGATCTCCCTAGATAGAAAGACAGACAGGTGCATAGGTGTATCCAATATATCTTTGTCTATACAATGATAACTGTAGTTCTATTGGATCTATCTATTTATCATCTATCTAGAGAGACCTATACTATATAGATAACTATAATTCTATTGCATCTATTTATCTATCCATCTAGAGAGATCTGTCTCTGTCTCTGTAGACAGCTATATTTGTATTTCTGTCTCTCTCTCTCTCTCTCTCATTATTTTAAGGAATTGGCTCGTGATTGTAGGGGCTGGCAAGCCCCAAATCTTCAGGGTAGACCAGAAGGCTGGAAATTCAGCAGGGATTCTATGTTGCAGTCTTGAGAAAAAATTGTTTCTTCTTTGGGAAACTTCAGTCATTGCTCCTAAGCCCCTCAAATGATTAGATAAGACCCACCCCGGCCCCCATCCACTCCCCACCCAACCACATTATGCAGGATTTATTATTATTTTTTTATTCTTATGTTAATCCCCATACATTACATCATTAGTTTTAGATGTAGTGTTCCATGATTCATTGTTTGTGCACAACACCCAGTGCTCCATGCAGAATATGCCCTCCTCAATACCCACCACCAGACTAACCCATCCTCCCACCCCCCTCTCCTCTAGAACCCTCAGTTTGTTTTTCAGAGTCCGTCGTCTCTCATGGTTCGTCCACCCCTCCAATTTCCCCGCTTCATTCTTCCCCTCCCACTACCTTCTTCTTCTTCTTTTTTTCTTAACATATATTGCATTATTTGTTTCAGAGGTACAGATCTGAGATTCAACAGTCTTGCACAATTCACAGAGCTTACCAGAGCACATACCCTCCCCAGTGTCTATCACCCAGTCACCCCATCCCTCCCACCCCACCCCCCACTCCAACAACACTCAGTTTGTTTCCTGTGATTAAGAATTCCTCATATCAGTGAGATCATATGATACATGTCTTTCTCTGTTTGACTTATTTCACTCAACATAATACCCTCCAGTTCCATCCACGTCGTTGCAAATGGCAAGATCTCATTCCTTTTGATGGCTGCATAATATTCCA